AATTTTATATTGAGTTGTATTTTCCTTATTGTAATAGCTCTGTTTATATTCTAGATATAATCAGTTATCAGGTAAATATTTTGCAAAACTCCAGTTCTGTGAGTTGTCTTTTCTCTGTCTTGGTGGTGTCCTTTGAGGCATAAAACTTGTAGTTTTGATGAAGTCCGAGTTATCTTTTTTTTTTTTTTTATCACTTGTTATTTTTGGTGTCATATCTAAGAAAGCATGGCCTTACTTAAGGTTAGAATGATTTACCACAATATTTTGTTAGCCTTCCATTTTTTTTAAACTTTATTTTCATTGTTGACACTATTACAGATGTTCCCTCCTTACCCAGCTCCCTCCTCTCCTTCCCTCTGGCCATTACCACACTGTTGTCTGTGTCTGTGGGTTATGTATATATATTTCTAAGTCTGATTTATTTAGAGTTAATTTTTACATTCTATGTGAGGTCAAGATTGTTTTGTACTTTTGCACGTGGATATCCAGTTGACTAATCATCATTTGTTCATAAGACTGTTTTTTCCCCACTGACTTGTCCTGATACCCTTGTTGAAAGTCGGTTGACCCTAAATCCAGACATCAGGATTTTTTTTTTTTTTTTGAGTTACCCTTACCAAGAAAAATAAGGCAGAAATGAGTTTAGGTCAACTCTCCATTAGGATCAAGATTCTGGGAGGATGTCATCTAAATTGTATCAGTCTCATGTGCCTTTTTAATTACTTTAGTAATGGAAGAAGCCTTGTTTAGTGTGCTATTCTTGGATTTTACCTTGATTTAAATTTGGAAATCTCTAGTTCTCTTTTAATTTGTTCACAAACATTGTAAACATGTTAGAATTAGTCCTAATATATAGTGGTTTGGGTTTTTTTCCCCTTCACTTGTTTTCAAAGTTTAGCTGGAGGCAACAGTTAATCTTTAAAGGAGTCATGCTTATAAAGTTGGGATAGTGCTGAGTGGCTGATGTTCTGCTAATTCCAGCTGTAAAATGTTTTTGAAGAGCAGAAAAACAATTTGCTTTTATTCCAATACACTATAATTCTTGAGGTCCACTGAGTCTCTAAACATTGACTCAAAAAGTAGAATGAAGAATTGTTAACTCTGTTTTTCCGTAGTATCTTTTTATTTTAGAAAGTAGAATACTTATTAGGATCTAGTGAGGCAAAATGGTTTTCAGAATTGAGAATTAGATTCTGTTGACTTTAAGTGTTTTTTTTCTTTATTGATTTTAGAGAGAGAGGAAGGGAGAGGGAGAGAGAAATAGAAACATCGATGAGGGAGAACATCGATTAGCTGCCTCCTGCATGACCCCCACTGAGGGTCAGGCGCACAATCTGGGCATGTGCCCTAACCGGGAATCAAGCCAGTGACCTCTTGGTGCACAGTTCGACCCTCAACCACTGAGCTGCACCGGCCGGGCTTTGATTTTTTACAACATTTAAAAGGGGGAAACTTTCTTATAGACCATATTTATACTTATTTCTCTAGCTCTAAAAATATCTGTGGAATATATATATACACATATATATACATACAAACACACACACGTATATAAAAGTACATTTTTGTATAAGTACGATTAGTTTACTTAATATGAGTATAATAATGAAATCTATAATCTAAATATTACATATTATTTGTTAGAGTGCATTCTTTGTGCTGTTTTAGTGGGCCTTTGTCCTGTGTGTGTGTCCATAATATTTATCCATAATTAGCATTGAGTGAATACAGTAATACAGTTACCCAGAGGTGAATTTTCCAAAATCCCCAAATATCCTAAACACACCCATTTAAACCGTTAAATAAAAAGTTTTAAAACAATGTGCAAAATTGGAAAGCTCATCTGTTTTATTTATTTATTCTTTTTGAAATCTACAAAATGTGAACTTTCTTTTAGGGTCATTGTCTTTTGTGTAAGTTTTTTTTTAATCCTCGCCCGAGGATATTTTTACATTTATCTTCAGATAGAGTGGGAGGGAGGGAGGGAAAGAGAGAGAAACATCAACGTGAGAGAGACACATTGATTGGCTGCCTCCTGCAAGACCTGGCCAGGGCCGGGACGAACCGCAACTGAAGTATGTGCCCTTGACCAGAATCAAACCCACGATTCCTCAGTCCACGGGCCAATGCTCTAACTGCTGAGCCATACCGGCCAGGACTCTGTTTTTTATAAGTTTTTAAACCTTTAAAAACGAAATCTTGAAATAGCTGGCACTTGAGGAGGTGAAGCAGAAACACTGTATAGTGGCAGCAGCCTCCATGTGCGTCCTCAGTGAAGTGAGCACGGCACCGCTGGCCTTGCAGAATGATGACCCCTGCTGCTCGGACGGCTTTCCGAATTCAAATGTACATTTCAAAAAGATTTCTATTAAAAATGGCTTTAAAATAAAATTTTTGATTGTTTGCTGAGCAAACTATTTGAATATTTGAAAAATTTTCTTATGTAGATGACTTTTTTTGGCCAGTACCTTATAAATATGCTTTAATTTAGGTGCACTGTTTAATTTATTCAAACATCTGTATTAAGCTTTTTTGTTTTTTAATCCTCTGCCAAGGATATTTTTCCATTTGTCTTCAGATAGAATGGGAGAGAGAGAAACATTGATGTGAGAGAAACACATTGATTGATTGCCTCCCACACGACCCACACCAGGGTTGGGGACCGAACCACAACCTTGGTATGTGCCCTTGACTCGAATTGAACCCGAGACTCTGGTGTGTGGACCGACGCTCTAACTGCTGAGCCAAACTAGCCAGGGCTGTATTAAGCTATTTTTTAGCCATTGTTCTAGGTAGTGGAGATTCCATAGCGAACAAAAAAGACAGTAGTCCTTGACCTTACATATCCCTCTAGTAAGTGAGAGGATGATAGAAAATAAATAATAAATATATCATAGAACATATGTTATTTTTATTAAAATTTTAAAAATCTTCACTTGAGGATATATTTTAATTGCTTTTTAGAAAGAGAGAGAGATATTGATGTGAGAGAGAAACATCTACCAGTTGCCTCCTGTACATGCCCCGAATCAGGATTGAACCTACAACCTAGGCCTGTGCCCTGACTGGGATTCAAAGCTGCCACCTTTCGGTGTACGGGATGATGCTCTAACTAATTCTGCCACACCAACCAGAGCAAGTTATTTTTATTTTTGATAGTAAATGTCAAAGTAGTTAATTATTTTCTTTTTAAAAAATTAATACATATAATTTTGAATAAACTATCATACATAGGCTGGACTTTCTGCTAGGTAGTATGTATGTGAGCAGAGCAGTTTGCAGTTTAGAGACGCTGTTTTTTTGCTATTATGCTCATGTGTTTCATGTAAATTTTTTTTTTTTTTTGGCCATGGGATGAAAAGGTTATTATTGTAAAATCTTGTTTGCCTATGAAATAGATAACCTGAGCTTGATCCTGTAGTGTATTTTATAGAGAAAAACATTTGTAAAAATATTAACCAGATACTTTTGGAATGATAAAGCAGGAGTCCTTTAGGTTAGGCTTTTTGCATTCTTTGATTCTGCGGTCTCTTCTGACTAGTTCCTTTGAAGCAGTTCTGTGAAAACAGAAACTCGTAGATATAAAGAACAGACTGGTTGCCAGAGGGGAGAGGGTTGGGAGACTGGGTGAAAAACGGACGGGATTGAGAAGTACAGATCGGTAGTTACAAAGTAGTCCCAGGGAGGTAAAGTACAGCATAGGAAATGCAGTCAGTAATACTGTAACAACTCTGTATGGGCCAGTTGGGTACTGGAAATATCACGGGGAACATTTTGTAAAGTATATGATTGTCTAACTACTATGCCCTGCACCTGAAACCAACACAAAATTATATTGAATGTAAACTGTAATTGGAAAACATTAAACATTTTAAAAAGCAGTTTTGTGAGATAGTGGAATATTATTTTGTGTGGTTGATAGATGAGGGTGATAGCCTCAGGACACTTTATTGGCATAGTCAGGAGGGGAGAAGAGAGCCTCTAGGGGGACAGGCATCACTTACTTGACTAAAATTTGTGTGTCTTGGTTGGTAGAGTTCGTGATGGCATAGGTGTTTCCATGCATAGAAGGTGTCCCCTGTCAGGAATACGTGATTTCTTCTTCTTCTTTTTTTATGTTTCTATTGATTTTTAGTGAGAGAGGAAGGGAGAGAGAGATAGAAACATCTATGTGAGAGAGAGAGATCTATTGGCTGCCTCCTGCACACCCCCTGCCTGGGGATCGAGGCTGCAACCCGGGCCTGTGCCCTGACCGGGAATCGAACCGGGACCTCTCAGTCCCTGGGATGTCGCTCAACCACTGAGCCACACTGGCGGGGTGATTTATTCTTGTTGAAAGGAGAGAACCTCAAAATAATCCTTTTAATTGTTTTGTTACTGGCTGTACTGATGACAAGAAGAATTTAATTGAGAAGTTAATGTAAACTTGTAGGATTATGTAAAGAGTTCCCCGACATCGTGACAATGAGGCACCCTTTGCGGATTACTTCTCTTTGGCCCCATTCTTGAGTATTTGTCGCCCCCCACCCCCACCATAGTTATCTTCATTTTCTTGAAGGAGTATGTCTTCATTTCCTTTTAGGAGTATGAGTATGTTTTCTTCATCTTTTGCCCTTAAATTCATGAACCAACTGTATCCTTTTTTCCTCTTCAAACACTGTTGCTTGGCTTATGAAGTTTTACATATGAATTTTAAATGGTTCTTCTTAGATTCTCTCTCTTGTTCTACAAAGAACTATATAAAATGGTCAATGTTTGCAAAATGTGATTACTAGTTGTTCCCAGATTTGTTTCTTATTTGAATACAGTCAAAACCAAAGGGAAACTTCAGAGGAAAAAACTAAAAGAACCTCATTTAGTTATTCAAATAATGACTAGTATTATGGAAATTTTATGTGAAACTTGCAAAAAAAAATGCACTTTTTTGTTCTGTTTTAATGGCATCAAAATATGGTTCACCAACAGAAAATTTATTAAGAAATTTATTTGAAATTTTTCAGGCTGTTACCCTTGTCCGGGGCCCAACATGAATCCTATTGCTCTTGGGAGCCGCTGGCTGGCTTATGCAGAAAACAAGGTATGGCAGGGCCCATGTTTGGATTATTGGCAATGGGGCAAATGTTCTAGAATTTTCCCAAAGTGATTACCAACCAATGATGAACGTTTAAATTACTAATTTGTTTTCTTTGATTTGATTTTGATTTTAGTTGGACACTATAATTGTCTTTATCTCCCTTCTTGCTTAAGATCATTATTTAGACTCAACCTTACTTATCCATGGTTAGTTTTTTATAGAGATCTTGACTCCATCAATCTTAAAGCATAGCACTGATATTACGAGAGTAGTTTCTGTGGAGCTGGAAATCAGGAGGCAGGAATGACTTCTGTCTTTACTGGCAAGTTGGGAACCTGAGGCATAGAATGATTTACTTTACTTTAACTATTTGTCTACAACTAAATCTAAACAGGGGTTCAGCCATTTGTCTTAATAATCTAATCACAGATGCTCACATTTTGTTGAATTTCCAGTTATCAATTTCATTCCTCTATTAAGATCATCGTAGTAAATATATTATATTTATATACTGAAAGGGTTGTTTACGCCCAAATCAAAGCAAAAGGCAAATTTGAATTTTCAGAAAGAAAAAGTGAAATCCTTTTTCTGCTATTTATTTCCCCGCATGTGAATATAGAATGAAACCTAAAAAATATTAGACTTCAAAGATGATCATCATTTTTTGTTTCACTTTTGCTAGTTTTTAAACATTTTTATTGAACAGTTTTTTACCTTAGTCTGGATTTGGTAAGTACATTGAGTGTTTGGTGAAACCACAGAGCAAGTAAATCTCTAGCCTCTGGAATTTACAAAATCAAGAAACTACTGAAGAAAGTTACTTTTCTGGATGAATTTGTTGATATTTTTTTCCAAAATGCTGTCTCCTTCAGGTGGATACTTTTCCTCTTACTGAAAGCCAGAATGCCATATTTTTATGCTCCATTCTTTTATTTCTCTTGATTTTTCAGAATATCTTTAAAAAAAGAAAAGTACCTCTTTTCAAAGTATTCTTTTTAAACAAGAATAGAGGCATACACTTCACTGTGGTGCCAATGCAGTGTTCTAATGTTTACATCTGTAATACATTTCCTTCAGTGCTGGAGATATCCAAGAAGGTGTATAAATTGTCGTTGGCTCTTATAGATGTATTCTCACGTGTGAAAAATTACCCACTTAGAATGCAGGTGTTATGCAAATAGTAACATATTTTTTTCATGTGGAAACAACTCTCTTTGTAGATGCATAGGCTGGATGTGTGCCACTTGTCTTGCCTTTGTAGAGATATATGTCAATAATATTGAGTGTTACAGAAATAGTCAGGAAAGTTGAGTGGCATTCACAAGGAGTTTGATAATCACATTGTTGTTCCATCCTTTGAAAGAACTATTTCCAGATAATTGTCTTTCCATAGAATTTACAGTTTCTCATTGTTTTAGCTTTTGGGCTAAGAGTTGAAAGTGCTCTTTGATTAAAATTTTGAGCAAGAGGCCATATATCTTTTTTAATTAATCCTCACCCGAGGATAATTTTTCCTTTTTTTTTTTTTTTTTAATTTGGAGAGAGCAGAAGGTTGAGAGAGAGGGGGAGACACACACACACACACACACACACACACACACACACACACACTTGGTAGAGAGGGGGAGACACACATACACACACATCAATTGGTTCCCTCTCTCATGCACCCTGACTGGGGCTGGGGATCAAACCTGCAACCCAGGTACATGCCTTTACCTGGGAATTGAACCTGTGACCCTTGGGTCCAGGAGCCAACACTCTGACCACCAAGTTATACCAGCCAGGGCTCAATGCCTCCTTTTAACTGTATTTTTAACTCAGAACACTTACAAGAATAACTGTAGTATAGCACAAAGCACACTTATGTACCCCTTACTCAGATTGGGCTCTGAACCATTTCAGAGTAAGTTAAATATATCACATTACCCTTAAAGATTTCTTTTTCTTTTTTTTTTTTTTAAGGAAGAGAGAGAGAAACATTGATGTGAGAGAGAAACATTGATTGGCTGCCTCCTGCACACTTCTACTGGGGATCGAACTGGGATCTCTCAGTCCATGGGACGACACTCAATCCACTGAGCCACACTGGCCGGGCACATTACCTTTAAATAGTTAAGTTATCAGCCAGTTTAATATTGATAAAGTACTTTTATCTAATTTAACATCCGTATTTCAATTTTGTCAGTTAACTGTATCGTGATTTGTAGATTCCCCCGTCCACCGCAATGGTGTTCTTGGCATGTCCCTTTAGACTCTTTTAATATAAAATATTACATAATTTTCTACAACATTAATTAAAAAAAAAACAAACCCTCTTCTCTATCTCCACTCTTAAAAAAAAAAGAATTATATTTATTTTGAGTTTTCTAATGGTTTCTCTTGATTTATATAGAAGTTATGTATTTCCCCTCTTCTTTTTTTGTAGGTATAATTTTGATATGGACTCATGGATTTCTGTTATTTTTTTAAATGGCTTTCAATTTTTTTTCTGAATGTATCAAGTTCTTACAGAGTTTAACAATGAGAGCCCCTTTGGGACAGTTCCAGTGACATTGTAACATGCCTCTATCAAATACTTTTAAAATCTATTTTCTTACTTGCTATCATAAGATTATGTCCAGGTTCATCTAGTACTTGCCCTGTCTCAGCCCTGGAATCTGCTACTTCTGATATTTCTGCTTCTTTTTAATGAGCAGTGTTATTAGCTACTAAGCTTTGTCCAGTAGGTGTGCTCACTGCTACTGGGGTGTTTTTGCTTCTAAACCCTTTCAATATGGCCAAGGTTCAGAAATATGCATATTATATACATATACTTCTATATGTACATAAATAGGGAAATATACATATATGTATACTTGTGCACCTATACAGATACACACATTATTTTGGAGATGAAGAGTTCACATGGCTACTGCACTTCCTCAGGATTCTTTCTTCTTGTCCCCCATTTGCAATTTGTGTGCCCCTTGTTTTGCATGGCAGACCCTATACAGGATAAATCAAGAGAAAGAACAGGATGGAGAATAAATATGACATAAGAAACATGGTCTTCATTTGTTCAGCCTGTAATATGAAAAATAATTGCAAAAATGCTTGCTCACACTGCTACACAAATCAAACCAAACAAAAAGTTTGTATTTTCTTGCAGTTCTCTATGGTCCCATCGCTACCTAACATTGAATGTGCGCATTCAGTTAAATGTTCTGTTCATGATTTATTTTGATTAGTTTGTCCTTCATGCTTCCTCTTCCCATTACTGCTGTTACAGTTTTCATTTGATATATAATTGTCTACATTTTTTTTTTATCCTCACCTGATGACATTTTTTGCATTTATCTTCATATAGAGTTGGGGGGGGGGGCGGTTCAGAGAGGGGAGAAGAGAGAAAGAGAGAAACATCAATGTGAGAGAGACACATCGACTGGTTGCCACCCACATGACTCCAACCAGAGCCGGGAACAAACTGCAACCAAGATATGTGCCCTTAGTGGGAACTGAACCTGGGACTCTCCGGTCCCTGGGCCAATACTCTAACTGCTGAACCAAATCAGCCAGGGATACTTTTTTTTTTTCGTTCAGATGGAGTGGGAGGGAGAGAGAGGGAGATAGAGGGAGAGAGAGAAACATCGATGTGAGAGAGGCACGACAGGTTGCCTCCTGCACAACCCCAACCAGGGTTGGGGACAGACTGCAACCGAGGTACGTGCCCTTGACCGGAATTGAACCCACAACTCATTGGTCCGCAGGCTGACGCTCTACCACTGAGCAATACTGCCCAGGGCTACATTTGTTTATTTTATAAGCTTATACATTTTATTATGTTATAATAAAAAGTAGGGGCAAATGTAGATTTACAGTTGTTCATATGGAAAATATTACAATAATTGATAAATAATAATACAAGAATAAACTGTTTTTGTACTCACAACTGTAAATCTACTTTTGCCATACCCTGTTTTTATTGTTCCCCTTTTCCCCAGAAGATTACATAATATATGCACTCTTGTATATTGCTTTTTCTCTCCCCCACTTACTAATATTTCCTGGAAATTAGTCCATTTGATAGAGTTTTGCACTACATAAATTTATAATTTGTCTATAATTGTAAACTGGTATGCAAATGTACTTTTTTAATGATTCTAAGCTTTAAACAAAAGTTTCTGGTTTAGTCCCTGGCAAGGTAGCTCAGTTGGTTAGAGCATTATCCCGAAATGCCAAGATTGTGCTTCAGGGCACATCCATGAAGCAACCAGTGAATGCATAAATAAGTGGAACAACAAATCAGTGTTTGTTTGTTTGTTTCTTTCTTTCTTTTTCTCTCTCCCTCTCTCTCTCGGTCTCTCTCTCTCACTAACTCACTCTTTCACGCTCTCTTCCTCCTCCCCTTCCTCTTTCTTGCTAAAATAAAAAAATGAAATTAAAACTTCTGCCTGAGTTATATAGAAATGCTGACTCAGAATTTAGTTTTAGTTGAATTTGAAAAGGTTGATAGTATTGCTTGTTTTCATATATTTGTCTTTGATCATTAATAATTACTTACGGGAGAAAAAAGATGGTATTTCTAAGGTAATATCTTTCCTTGCATTTGCCTCAGGAGGCCTCAGAGGGACAATTTTCTTAAGTTTTTGAATGTCTGTGAATGAATGAATGAGTGGGGGAGGGAGGGAGGGAGGTGGTGAATGAGTGAAATAGATTATTTTCATTCAGTCAAACAATCATTTTCAAACTTCTATATTCTTTTCTGTGAAACCACATTTGCTGCTGATCACCTGTCTTTTGGAAAATTTTTCTCCACTGATCTTGAACTCTACTTAAGCAACCATTCAGTGTGGCATCAGACTTTTAAAGCTATTTCATTATAACATATACATTGTTATTGCTTTGAGGGATAGTTTTTTCATACAATGTCAGTGAAGAAGAAAAAACAATTTTTTAAAAATCCTCACCTGAGGATATTTTTTCATTTATTTTCAGATAGTGTGGGAGGGAGGGGGGGAGAGAGAGAGCAAGAGAGAGAGAGAGAGAGAGAGAGAGAGACTTATCGATTGGTTGCCTCTTGCACGACCCCGACGTGGGCCGGGGACCGAACCGCAACTGAGGTACGTGTCCTTGATCAGAATCGAACCTGCCACTCTTTGGGCCTTGGGCTAACGCTCTAACCACTGTGCCGAACCTGCTAGGGTAAAATTTATGATTTTAGAATAAAAGGTTTACAAATCAATCTTTATCCAATGACCTGGTTTCAAATTATATAAAGCATTTTTGTTTTTATGTTTTGATAGAGATTTATTCTTTCTGAATTCTGTAGACTTGTAATAATTCATATCACAACATGGAGCTGTTCTAATTCTTGGTTATTATTATTTTATTTACAATTTAAATGTGAAATTTTGGCACATTATCTATATGTACTTACCAAATTTAGGAAATGTGGGAACATGAGAGAATCAAATTTCAGTTTATTTCTCAGCACATGAGAGAATCATGTTTATCAAACTAGTGATTCACTTTGAAAATTGGCAGGTTGCTATATTTACATCAGACATGAACAAGGGCATGTCTTTTTCATTCTAATGGTAAAACTAGTAAGCCCTCTGAAGTGGATCGCGACTACGTATGTGTTATAGTTGACTCGTGCATAATTTGTGCCACTTTTTCACCGACACAGTTGGAAATGAAAATATGGCACAATCTTTAGTCTATCTTTTTGAAAGTTTCCTTTACAATCTTTATGTAGGAATTAAGAGGACAAAACCTCTAATTTGCTAGCATGTTAAATATTTAATGTTAGGAAGTCATGTCTAAGTCCTTTGATTATGTTTTTAAATTTTATTTGTGGAAAGGCTGCCAGAGCCCAAATTCTACCATTTCAGAGTTTATGAATTCTTAGAGACTATTCATCTTGTAATTAAAAATTGTATTCGAGCATGAAACGGCCTGAATGGCACCAGTAGATTATAAAACGGGCTAAAAGTGTCTGAGCCAGGCTTTTGGCTGTTTGTATGAAACACACTCATGCAAACATTCCCACCCACCACAGTCATTATGCATGGTAAATAAGCTCTGTCCTAATAGCCTGTAGAGTTAAACAGTTTAGTAGAAATGACTTTCTGGTTTTCTCTCTCTCTTTTTCCAGTTGATTCGATGTCATCAGTCCCGTGGTGGAGCCTGTGGAGACAACATTCAGTCTTATACGGCCACAGTCATTAGTGCTGCTAAAGTGAGTATCCAGTAGTGTCTGGGAGTTGTGATTATGTGGAGTAATTGTCAGGTTTCTGTCCTGAATTGGATTGAGATGGTCTCTTCCCTTTTCATTCACAAGTGTAATAAACCTAAGAAATAAGTCGGCCTTATTTTGTCATTCAGGAGAATTGGTGCCTAGATGATCAAGTATTTAATTTCTTAAGGTTCATAAACAATACTTCACTTTCTGTTGTAATGATGATAGGGTTTATAGTTATCCAGTTCTAGGTATTTAAGTCTGTTAGCTAGATGAAAGCCTTTTATCTAATTAATCCCACTTTTAAAAGAAGCTGCATATATCTTAAGTAGTGACGTCTGGATTCTTCTTGTGTGGTTTGCATTATTCTACCTATACTGACATCCCTTTGCATCTTTGAACATTTATGAATCTTTTTGACCTAAAAGAAATAGTATTCCTTTAGAAAACTTGAGGCAGATCCCTGGTACATTTAAAGATTTCTTTACGTCACAGGCTGCCCCTTTCATGTCTGGCACGCGAGCTCCTTTTGTGCGTGCTAGGGTCCATGTTGATGATGGCTTGTAAACTGTATGCTGATTATAAGGCATTTTTATAATCACTAACCTTTCGAATTCTGAAGTATACAACAAAACAATTCTAATAATAGGGATGACATAGTGAATCTAAATGACAGCATGTAATAAAAAGCACAACTATTCAGAAAAGAACAACAGTTTAAAGCAAACCACAGGGAGGGAATCAAAGGTCACACTGTTTTTGTGTAAAACAAATACAAAAACACTTCAAGATTGATCACAAGTGCTTATATGATGTGCTTTAGAATGGGCTCCTTGGTTTGATGAGAGAAGCTTTAAATGTTTTTCATTCAGAAGGTAAATACCGAATGTGTTTATGTTTATAGCACCATGTATTTTGAATTTCAGAATATTTATTTTAAAAATTGATCACCGGTCTCCATTGTGTATGCTAAATTATGATGGTTATTTCAGTGACGAGAAATCTGAGACAGAGTAATTAGGCAGCATTAGTGTTATTCTGTTGGTTTATGATAAATCCATTTCTGTAATATTGGATTCTTTTTAGACTTATCAGCCATACACTTGCATTTGGATAGCTCATTGTACTAGCATGTTGAATAACTTTCAGTTATGTGATGGAGGACAATTTTCAGCTCTTTGCTATAATTATGTTTTTGTGTATCTACATAAAAGGAAAGTGACCGGCTTTATTCAGGAACTGTTAAGCTGTTTAGCTGAAAGTGGGCGTGCTGAAATGAGGTTAGACTAAATATGCTTTGAAAAGAACAAGCTCGAACTTCCTGCTTTTTACACTCCAACATTTTAAACTGTGAGGAATATACTCGTGTCTTCCACATTTAAATAGTGAGAAATTACGTTGATGATAACACCGTCCAATTTCCAGTATACCATTGGTCACCAATGAAAAAGTGTTAATTGAAATTCACTGTTTGCTCTGGCAGTGGGTAAAATTCTTTCTTGAACATTGGAAGAGAGTGGTTAATGTTTATTTTTGTTTGTTGCTTTTGCCTGATTTTAATACTTATTTATATGCTTGTTTGTAAATTTATAAAATGAAGAAAAAATATAACTATGAACATAAGTCATCCATTTTTCTTTAAATTTTTTTTTCTTTAAACTTTTATTTTAGTTACAGTTTACATGCCATATGATTTTGTATTAGTTTCAGGTTCAGCACAATCATACTTTACAAGTGTTCGCCTCCTATTTCCAGTACCCAACTGGCACCATACATAGTTATTACAATATTTTTGAGTCACCCATTTCTTAATCGTCTTAATGCATTCAATCCAATAGTATATTGTACCCTGCTGTTTTTACTTATTCTTTTTTAAAATATGTTTTTTATTGATTTTTTAGGGAGAGAGAGATAGAAACATTGATGTGAGAAACATCCATCAGCTGCCTCCTGCATGCCCCCTACTGGAGATCGAGCAGGCAACTTTGGCATCCGCCCTAACTGGGAATTGAACCGGGATCTCTTAGTCCATGGACCGACACTTAGTCCACTGAGCTTTTAACTTATTCTTAAATGTCAGGAAATATATTTTTTCTTATATTTATATGCCTATCTGTGTATGTAGAGGCTACTGCATTAGAGAGCATGACTATTTTGAGATTTAAAAAAAATACTGTTAAATTATTTTCTTAAAGTCCTACCAGAAATAGAATGATTCTTCATTTCCTTGGGTATTTTATATAGGAAAGATTGGAGAGCTGGGATGATCTCCCCTTCTAGGTATTAACTTCTCCTAGTCAGTTATTGGATATTAGAAAGTTTGTGGGAAAATTAGTCTCCTGAGGTATAAAGCAGTTTTAGTTTCACATGGTAAGCACATCAAAATTACTTCTCTAAGTGCTATCATTATAAATATATATATATTTAATTTTTTTCTTTATTGATTTTTAGAGTGAGGGAGAGAAAGATAGAACCATCTATGAGAGAGAACATTGATTGGCTGCCTCCTGCGTGACCCCCACAACATGACCCTCACAACCTGGGCATGTGCCCTGACCAGGAATCGAACCGGCAACCTCTTGGTGCACAGGTCAACGCTCAGCCACTGAGCCACACCTGTCAGACTGTTCTTTTGTCTTTGTAACTATTACATTATGGATTATACTCCTGTTCATGTGCTCATTTGTGACAGTTTGTCATGACGTACCTTTATAGCTCCTGCACTCTGCTGTATAAAGGGGTGTTAGAGTTTACCAATAAAAGAAAATATTCACAAAGATGTATTCAGACCAAGAAACTTCCAGAGATTTCTAACACTGAAGAATAAAGAATGGCAATATTACCAGTATTCTCCCATGGAGTGAAAGTCACATTATACCTAATCTTGTTTTATGATGCAAGGTCACCTTAATACTAAAACTTGACAAGAGCATTATGAAAAAGGAAAACTGTAGTCCTGTCTTTACTCATGAACACAGATGTGAAAAATCCTAAACAAAGAGCTAGCAGAAAAAGGAAAAAATATATGGTAAGGATAATGTGGCACAATTCAGTTGGGAAATTGCACATTGTAAGACTGGTTTTTTACTAAAAAAATCAATGAGTGTAATTTGCCATATTAACAGATTAAAGGGAAAAAGGGATATGATTTCTCAATGTATGCACAAAGACAGCTTGGTAAAACTATGCATTGATGAAATATTTTAGTAAATAGTGATAATTTCTGATTCTCTAGAATTCAGTTTTTTTGTTTTCAAATTACCAAATTGGTCAAGTACAGTAAACATGGTTATTTTTAAGTATGTTTTTGATAATTCCAATATTTGGTTTAGTTTTCAGTGTATTTTTGTTGTTTGTTTTGGCTGTTCCTCATTTATGATGTCTTGACTCCTGGTTTGCCAAAGTATTTCAGAAATCTTTAGAGACACTTTTGAGTTTGAGGTGATACGAGAGTTCTGCAGCAATGCCAGTCTTGGATTAGCTAAGTCCAGTTTCAGGGATTGTGGCGACTGAAATGATTTAAAAAATGCTTACCTGAAGTAGCTCTGAGAGCCTTATCACTACAGGCTCACTGTTATGTCTATTGTATATCTCTTATGTTCCAACCCAAAACATGGAGGGAAGGCCACCAGGCTGACCCCTCGAACATGACCACTAGTCTATCGAAAACACCACTTGGTCTCTTAGCAATGCTTTCTGGAATCATCCAATGCATCAAGGTCTATAATATTCTGCCAACCTGTATGGTTTCTTGTTTTCTTGGATTTGGACTTAGTAACTCTTCACTGTCTTGTTAAATATTTAATACCTTCAACCAGAATTAAAAAAGTTTTTTTCTCTCCATTTTTCCTACCTGTTTTCATTGGGAGGATTAATCTGATTTACCTAGACTGTCATTGAAAATAGAAAATCAGCCCGGTCAGTGTGGCTCAGTGGTTAAGCATTGACCCATGCACCAAGAGGTCACCAGTTTGATTCCTGGTCGGGGCACATGCCCCAGGTTTTGGGCCAAATCCCCAGTAGGGGGCATGCAGGAGGTGGCCAATTAATGTTCTCTCTCATCGATGTTTCTTTCTCTCTCCCCCTGTCCCTTCTTTCTCTAAAATGAATAAAGAAAAAAAAATGTTAAAAACAAAGAAAATAGATAATAAAATTTCTTATTTCTTAATATTTTAATCATTTCTAGGTAATATATTTTTTGTGATACAACATGAAAATCATTAAAACATTTTTTTTCTTTATTGATTTTAGAGAGAGAGGAAGGAAGAGGGAGAAAGAGAGATATAGAAACATTGATGAGACAGAACATTGATTGGCTGTCTCCTGCATGGCCCCCACTGGGGATCAGGCATGTGCCCTGACTGGGAATTGAACTGGCGACCTCTTGGTGCATGGGTCGATGCTCAACCACGGAGCTACACTGGCTGGGCTGGAAATCATTTTAAAAGCCATGTAGAATGTATGTGTTCCTTAAGAAGATGCTTATCTTAAATTCACATTCATTTCATTATTGTATTGATTACTTGGGGAGATTAATTTTTTCTCTCTCTGATTACAACTTCTTATGTGGATTCATAGAGGACACTTAAACACTTTGTTATATTTAAGGATTAATTTTTAAATTTTTACTTTTTCACTATACAATTGTAAATATAAGTACATTAATTGCATATGTACTTGGATCTCCTCTGCAAAGCACTTTTTTTGGGTACAGTTTCTAGATTTTCAAATAGCACTTAAAATTAATGTTTATACTTTTAGATTTTTTTTCCCTTTGAATTTCAAAATAATTTGTCTTTCCTTCATAATATAATAGTGATGCATTCTCTGTGGTGGTGACAAAGGAAAAGCATCAATATTGAAATTGTTCAAATTGGATTATTTTCATACATTTATCAGGTCTTGTTCCATATTTTCTAGTTAGCCTATAACTGTCCTATTTGAGTTTTACTTTTAATGTGATGTGGTAAATTGATTTAATAAAAATGCCTCTATTTTCTCTTGTTATCTGATAAGTTCTTAATGACAACTAACAGGTTTTGTGAGAGCAGCACCATTAACACTAATGGACAGGGAGGACAACCGATATGGCCTGAGAAAGGTTAAAGATGACTAGTGACCCTTTGGCAAGTCTGCCTGCAACAGAACAGAATAAGTACCATGCTGATGTGAATTTGCAGTCCTAGGGGATTACCGCACATTTGTCATAAACTTATTTTCAGTTTTCTTACAGATAGTTCTATGACTACTCTTAAGATTATTCACATATGTAACGAACTTTTAAATTTAGATATCTCAGATTGCGAGGACATTCCATCTAAGTCAACATCTCCATTTGGCCTAGTTAGATTATTATTTTTTATTCCTAATTTTTTCTTAGCCTCCACCCATTTTTCTATGTATTTGGGGATATCCTGTATGCACATACCTTTTCTACTAAAATGTAGTGAAAAGGCTAACGACCCAGTGAGGTGGTTTAGGTATCTAAATATGATGTATGAAAATTATTATATAATATTCTGTATTGCTTCTTGACACTAGTGCTTATCAATATGACATGGAAACAAATTTCTCCTGGAAACAAGGGTCTTTACTAATGTAGAGAACGTCTGGTACCCCTCTCTCACCTCCTGCATTAGACCTTATTTGGAAGTTAGTAAGCTATGATAGATAGGACTATCTTGTCACTTACTATACAAAGTGCAGATTTGATGACTGTTAAATTTTAATAAGATGACCCCACTGGTAGTCATTATTTATTTTTTTATGAGAAATATCTATGACTCTTCATGTAATATGAGCTTTTGACTATGAAATACACTACCCGGCCCCCTGACCTTTCCACCCCTGAGTTTTCCCTAGTTCTTTTATATTAACTTTTCCCTTTATCTTGTGGTTTGCTTTGGTACATTATTTCCCACTTTCTGTGTGCTCTAGTTATTTTAGTTTATTTCTATTCATTGGTATAAGAGCATGAAATAATAGGCTCAAGGGCAAATGGGGAGATATACAAGCTAAGACTTTAAACCTGAAAGGCATTTCTTTGATAAAGGGGCAGTAGCTCCGTTTAAGTGGGAGCATCTCCATTAGCATTAATGGAGAAAGCGCATCAGCTGAAGCATCTCAGAGGTTAATAAGGCTTCCTGGCCAGCTACTGACATCAATACACAGTGGCGCCTGATTTTGTTGGTCCTTCAGAGGCTTTCTTGACAACAATCTTAACAGACTCTGTGTAAGTCATTTCTTGTGAATTATTGAAACGAATGTTTGGCTGCTAATTGAGGAACGATACTGTGTTTTATAATCACCGCAGTTTGCGTTTTTAGCACTAAACAAAACAGTTGCAATTGATTTGTGGCTTTTTTCTGGTTTCAGTCAGCTGTAAGTTACATCTTTTTGCTTGAATTTAGCGAATGGCTTTGCTGGTCATTTATTTAAGTGTTTATTAAGGTACACTATTATGGACTTCATCCCCCACCTCTCCCCAGTGTGTGTGTGTGTGTGTGTGTGTTCTGAATTCATGAAGTGTGAGATCACAAGTAGTAACAGGAATAGATTACAGGGAAATACTGGATAGTGGTTAAAATCAAGCCTTGGAGAAAAATAGTCCTAGTTTTAAATTCTGGCTTTGTCATTGGCTAGCTGTTTTACTTAACTTCTGTAGCCTCAGTTTTCTCTTAAACTGAGGTGTTTGACGAAATCTATAGTGATCATTTATGTTTGGAGCCTTATCCAATCCCACGTTTATAGTGAAGGTTTTATAGATTATAGCTACAATAAAATAATTCATAAATTAGTAATGTTAATCATATGGTGTTTTAATGGGAAATTTCTTTGGAAAATACATTTCCTTTTTGAAATTTAATTGTTGTTTAAGACACATTTATCTTTCTATTATTATTTTTATTTTTTGGGTAGGAGGGTTGAAGGGGAAGGGAAAGGTGTGGACATGCTCTGGGAGGGAGAATGCACTGGGTCCTTCGTCCTAAGGGTTAATTATTTTTAAAAGAGAAAGTCACCATACAAAAAATTAATTTGAAGTATTTTAATAAAAACTTTTTTCACAGCATGAGAATTTGAAAAAATATTTCTGATTGTGTTTGTTACACATAAATTTTGATACATCTGTATAGTCTAGACTACTTATTTTGCTGTAATGATAAGACCTTCAGTGTTTTTTTATCGCATAATTTTCATTTTGCTTTAGTTTTCTTCCTTTCAGATAACACCCCCAAACATTACCTTAACATTATTGCTTGTTAATGCATATGAGAGTAATCAGATGAGATTCCTGTAAAATAAAAAATACTCACACAACAGTTATTTTTATCTATTTGCTTTGAATGAAGTGGAACTAAAATGTAATTATAAAGCATCTTAAGTTTTCTTTAATTGAAATTGCATTTTAGAAGCATTATATTGAATTGCATTCTGTTTTCAGAGAGAAAAGAACCTTTTTTGCTATTTTTATGTATTTAATTCATCTAGTAATTAGTATGTTGGATGGAGACTGTCTTTTTCACATGCTAAATCTTGATGTACATTATTATATAATAGCTTATTACAGATTACCTTTGGAAGCATGGTCTTTTTTCACAAAGGGATTCTACCAGCATCGCAGTGTTTTTCATGCTAAGAAAATAGATTTAAAATTAGATTTATAGTATTTCAAAAAATAGAATATCATATTCCTACTTCTTACTGTGTCACGTATTTTAATCTATATACATTAAGGAGTGGCAAATAATTTTTATAAAAGTAAAATTGTGTTCTCATGTGAAACAAAACTTTTAAATTATTTACCTATGGCTTTATTCTTACCATGCCGACTTTGGGGACTATGCTGATACCATTCACTCAAACTGACACTGAATTTAAGATCACATGAAAAGTCATACTGAATTTCTGTGACAGTTCACTGCTACAGATAATCTCGTAAGAGAATAAATAATTTAGTAGTAGGAGAATAATAAACGCATATTTCTATTTGGAATCCAAATACTGATATGAACTTACATATAAATTTTACCTTTCATTTTATAGACTTTGAAAAGTGGCCTGACAATGGTTGGGAAAGTAGTGACTCAGCTGACAGGCACACTGCCTTCAGGTGTGACAGAAGATGATATTGCCATCCATAGTAATTCGAGGCGGAGTCCTTTGGTCCCGGGCATCATCACAGTAATAGACACTGAAACAGTTGGAGAGGGCCAGGTAAGAACTTCTGATGCATGCAATATCCATTTTCTGCAGAGGATGGGCTGACTGAGAATATCATTTGGGATAAAGATTAGCTACAATGTAGTTGACTTTGTAGGTTGTTAATTTGGATTTTGAGAAATTGATGTTATATCAGGTTAGATTTTTTTTTTGGTGCCTCCCCCAAAATGTTGAGTAATATGTTGGAACTTGTTATTTCAAATTTTATTAATGTATCAAACCTGAAGGTAAAACTCAGGTTCTAAGAGATTCTCGTTATGTCTTCATTAGAACATTTGTTTCACAAATAAGTAATTATATCTTTTTATTATGTTCTGTTTACAATACTATTTCTTTTTGTTGTTAATTTTCACCCAAGGATATTTTTTCCACTGATTTCTTGAGAGAGAATAAGGGAGGAAGGGAGCAGGAAAAGGAGGGGGCGTTGAGGGAGAGAAGCATTGATGTGAAAGAGTCACATTGATAATTGATTGGTTGCTTTCTGTATGTGCCCAGACTGGGGCTGGGGATTGAACCTGGCACCACTGGTATGTGCCCTTGATGGGGAATTGAATCCGAAGCCCTTTTGTGCACAGGCTGATGCTCCAACCACTGAGCCACACTGGCCAGGGCACTATTTATTTTTTCTTGAATGAGATATGTTTAGAACCTAAATCAGAATAATAATAATTAGTTTTTAAGGTAGATGCTTGCTCATAGAAGATCAATAGGATCTGACATATTTGGAGGAATTTAAAAAAAGTAATTGAATATGATGGTTATAAGTGACAATGTGAATAAATAACATCAAAATTTACTACAGGTATTTTCTTATACATATTAAAAATACATGAAATCTCAAAGTGTATGTTAGAATATATACATGATAATAACTAATTGTAAAATCCTATATCTTCATATGAAACAGTTTTTAAAAACCTAGGTTCAGAAACATTTAGAAGGAGTGATTATAAGCATGGAAAATAAGTTATGCTGGCATTTAAATCTTGTTAATAAGTAACCAATTTAAACAAGCCAAGCAGAGAAAGACAAATATCACATGATCTCACTTATTTGTGGAATATAATGAACTAAACAAACTGCTGAACAAAATTAACCCAGGGACATAGAGGTGGGGCACAGACTGACTAGCCTCAGAGGAGGGGGGTGGTTTGTGGGGGAAGAGATAAACCACAGAACTTACATGCATGTATGCATGACCAGAGAACATAGACAACAAAGCTGGGGATGGGGCAGGGAGGAAGAGGAGGAGGGTGTCAATGGGGGAAAAATGAGAAACATCTGTAACAAAAACAAATTAAAAAAAAAAAATTAAAAAGAAAAACCAATTTGGTTTAGTTTTTTTCCATGTACTCGTAAACATTTTTTTTTTTTTGTATCATTGTTTTGGATTTTAAATACATTTCTGAAAGGAAGTAATTTTAAAATTCAGTTAGATTTTGATCATTGCCATAAAGTATAATCCAATGTCTATTACTAAATAAGATAGTAGAGCAACATTTTTGAAATTATAATTATTTAAATTTTACATAGATTATACCTGTATACTTAATTCTGTTTTCAGGATATAATGTTTAGAAACTATGTGCGCCTTTAAGTATTAACCCTAAACATTGGATATTTTTTTGAGAAAAATCTGCTTCGAATATATATGTTTTTACATTTTATTGAAAGATTTCATTTGTCAGCTCCTGATGTACGCATTCCTATAGTAAGATCAAGTGGCTTTTCAACAACAACCACCATGTGGGGTCTACTGCAATTAAAAGACCAAAAAATCTTCGAAATTTTTGGCTACTGCATTTGGCTATTCTATTTTATTTGAAGTCTGAGTAATAATAATTCTCCACCTCACCCATCTTCACTTTGTGGTTAACCAAATATGTTATAGACTTGTATTCTTGTTTAAAACTCTCTTTAATGAAGTGCTAGCGAACTTTTCACTTGAGTGTAATGGCATTTTTAAAAAAGTGGTGTTAATTAGCTCAAGTTGGTGGACACATACAGATGTTCTGTTTTCTAATTCCAATTAAATATATAAATCCTTTAGTGTTTTATGAGTGTTAAAGGAAAAATTATTTTATTTTGTCCTTTGATTCTTAATTAATTCACCTCCAAGGCCACCCAAGTTTACTGAGAGTAGTAACAGCCCTTCTCGGCATTGTCTAGTTTGGTGCGTCTGTTCAACATCCAGCCTTTGTTGACAGACAGATTTGTGGTCATTTAAAAGTAGGAAATGTTATCTCTTATTATTATCTTTGATGAAATAGAGATGCAGCTTATTTTATTATATTTAAGTGTAGGAACATGTTAAAAAGAAAAAAATTAAACTAATTTTGTAAAATGCATAGCAACAAGCCTTATGTTTTCGAATTTTTGGCGTGTACCCCCAACCCCCAATCCCTGTTCTTCAGGAACTTTTTGTAATTTTAAAACGGAATTCTCCTGTTTGGAATATGGAAATGGATTATAGATTGTGGAGTTGCAAAAGTTAATTTTTCTGTGATAAATTGTTAACACTTGAAACAAGTAAAGTTGTTTAGGAAATAACAAACATAGAAATGTTAGCTTTTAAGTTAAGTGTTATTCAACCTGAAATTTTATATTTTATATTATTTTCTGGCAACATAATCTTTTTAGTCCTACTTATAACATATTATAAAATTTCAACTTGATTTAAAAATTTTGTTATAAGACAGGTGATAAATTGATGTTTAATAAATGGTAAGTTGCTATGTGCATTTTGAAATAATTTAAATATTTTTTAAAGCAACAAGATTTCCGCAGTATAATACTGTCCTCCTTTCTCTTATTAATGCGAATCTGTTTTTTGTCAAGGGGACATTTTTGTCTCTGATAAATAGTTCAGTTGGAGTACAGGGCTGTTTTTAGGTTATGCTGGATTGTATTAAAAAAACTGCAGTGGTTAGTGTCATAGATTTATCACTTTGAGCCCTTTCCCACTGATGTTTGACCTTAGCAGTAATGTTTTTCCTTTTCCATATATATCACAGGAGCTCAAGTTGACGTTAGGTTCACTTTTGCTGTTTAAATCCATTGAGCCTTTAATAAGGATATTTTCATATTTATAGTGGTGATGCATAAAATTTTGTTCACTATCTTTCTGACACTAAATTGATTAGTTTGATTTTATGGTGATAGGATCATAGTGTGGTAACTGCATTAAGGAGGAATGGATTTAATTGACTTCTTGTATATATTCATCTTTGTTACTTTTATGTTTTATTTAAAAGCATTTCATGCCTAGGGTAAGTTGAGCGGTATAATCCTTCTTTACACATTTATATAATTGAAGTCAGCGATGTGGCAAAGTCTCTAATCAAAGAAAAATGATCCTGAATGATGACATAAACTTGAGCTATCTTGCCTTTTTAGTACAGGTGTTATTCATAATAATTTAATGGTTCCATAGGTGTTTGTCTTTTTGTTCATATGATAAAGGAGTATTCAATTTATGTCAATTACAGTGCTTTGCTTTGTTTTAATATAGTCATGTTTTTACTGCATATATTTAGGGGTTCAGCCTGCTTACTTAAGTAGTGAGTAAAAATTACCTGTCTTAGGACAGTTGTATTGGAATAGCTCTGGTTTTATTGATTTGATGTTTTAACGCACAGTGAGATACCACCTTTCACTTTGTCAGGATGACCAATGTCAAAAGAATGGAAAATAATGTTGTCAGTGATGCGGAGAAGTTTGAATCCTTGTGAATTGTTTGGTGCTAATGTAAAATGATGCAGCAGTTATGGAAACCAGTATAGAAGTTCCTTAAAAATTTAAAAATAGAATTACCCTTTGATCCAGGAATCCTACTTCTGTGTTTCTATGAAAAATAATTAAAAGCCACATCTCAAAGACATATTCAAACATCCATGTTCATTGCAGTATTATTCGCAGTAGCCAGGAGGTAAGAGGAATCCACATGTTCATCAACAGATAAATGGATAAAGAAAAATGTATATACATAAAATGTAAAATAATCTTATATAGCCTTAAAAAAGAAGAAAATTTTGTCACATGTTACAACATGGATGAACTTTGAGAACATGGTTGTAATGGTTATAGTACTGTATAAAATAATTGAATTGTAAACATAAGGTTGGTTACTTTTATGGTATGTAAATTATACCTGTAACGCTTTTCACACTAAAACAAAATTAACATTGCCAGTGTAGGACTACAGACTAAGTCCTTTGTCTGATTATCATGGTCACCTTTTGATATAGATTTTCAGTTTGAACCTTTAGGTATGTGAAACTTTTTGCTTTTACTTTTAGTTAATACAAATTTTTTCTGAAAGTCATCAAACAGTACATTCACTATTAGGCAAATGGAATGTGTAAATTATATTTTAAAATGCTTGTCAGAAAATTAAGTGGAATAAATTTGAGGTGCAAAACTATCTGCTTTAATATATTTCTGATTTTATAGCTTGGCAATATTTTCAAAGAGGTGATGTATCTAAAAAATGAGGAGGTAAAGACTAGAACTATTTTGCTTAAAATAAGAATTTTATGGGTAATTCCTCTGACATGTAGCTGTTTGTGTTTAACCTGTTATATTGTTTTTCCTTGTTTTATTCCAGTTACGGGCAAGAATTTTTCAGCAGGCCATAACACAATAAGAACTATATGTTTCTGTCATTGGATAAAGATCTACACAGCTGATTTTATGGGTTTTTTTTGTTTGTTGTTTTGTTTTGTGAACTTACACTTGAAGAAATTACTGTCTCTGCCATCTACAGTCAAGTTAACCAACTGTTTAGAGTCTATATGATTGATATGCTTGGGCTGTTTTATATATTTTCCACATTGCTGAACTGGCAATCCACAAGAGTCATCTTTCAGCAGAGTGGAAGCATGGGATCCGATCAGGCGCATGTGGTTAACTGTGTATATCTTCAAGCTCAGTACTTGGTGATCAAAGGTTAACTTCCATTTGCCTCTTTTTTTTTGGTAAAGGTGCTTGTGAGCGAAGATTCTGACAGTGATGGTATTGTGGCCCACTTCCCAGCTCATGAAAAACCAGTGTGCTGTATGGCATTTAATACAAGTGGTATGTCTTTATTTTTTATGTTTTTCCATTTATATCATGGACTTTACAATTGATTGTTTTGGAAATGGAAAATATGAAATACTGAATCTGGCTTTTCTACTCTGTCAGTGTATGTCAAAAAGTATGTAGTCTTCCGTAACTGGTTATTGAATGAATGAATATAGTAAAAATTTAGAAACCCTCTAAATGTTAGCTTTACTCACAATAAAGTGGTGAAAGAAGCCGTACCTAAACAATGCTGTTGAGTTGCATTAAGAACTTCAGTATTTCAATGAACATATTAATGTATGTGAATGGAATTTTCTTTAGAATGTCAAATTTCTTTTTAACTTTGTAACATTTTATAAACTAGTTTACTTGTAATTTTTTTCCCCTTTCTTTGTGGTGGTTTTGTTTTTCTGATTCTTCTTAAAGCACTTCTTATGGAGAGATGTTAGAACAATGTGGAATGCCCTATTACGTTTTGGTTTTTCCCCAAAACTTTTTATTAGAAAAAGTTTCAAACATAAACATAGATTTAAAGGATAGCATAGTAATGACCAATGTACCACCACCATGATTAAACAGGTATTCATTCACATTTTTATTTTTTTATCCTCACCCGAGGACATTTTTCTATTTTTTGTTCAGATAGAGTGGGAGGGAGAGAGAGAAGAGAGAAACATTGACGTGAAAGGGACACATCGCGTGGTTGCCACCCGCACGACGGGGCCAGGGACAAACTGCAACTGAGGCATGCGCCCCTAGCGGGAACCGAACCTGGGTCTGTCTGGACCGCAGGCCGACGCTCTAACCGCTGAGCCAAACTGGCCAGGGCCATTCACATTTTAATATATATATATGTGTATGTGTATTTTGCCAAACCATTTGAATTTAAGTTGTATGCATTACAACATTTCACCTGCTACAAATTAACTATGCATTTCCTAAGAATAAGGACCCCCTCCTGTATAACCAAAAGTTATTTATTATTTCAGAAAACTAACACACTATATTATAGAATATCCAAGCTATAATTTATAATTCTCCAATTGGCCCTGGATGTACATCAAAAGGTTGTGGGTTCGATCCTTGGTTGGGGAGCATATGGAAAGTAACCAATCAATGTTTCTCTCTCACATTAATGTTTTTCTCAATTCCTTCTTCTCTTTCTAAAATCAATAAACATGTCCTCCAGTGAGGATTTAAAAAAAAATGCCCCAAGTGTCTCAAAAATGAATTCTCTAGCTGCTTCAGACCGAGTTCTAATTAAAGTTCACTTCTTACATTTTGTTATGTTTCTTTAGTTCCTTTTAATCCAATTTATAGCTCCGCCTATTCTTTTTTGCAGTGTCCAGACCAGTTCTCTTATGCAAATTCTGCACTTGTCATATTTTTTCATTATAATAATGTTTTGTTTATTCCCTAAAGAGGCTTTTAAACAACATTCAGGCTAAGGATCTTTCTTAGGATCTTAAGTATTGTTGTCTACATTATTTCATCCCCCGCAGGAGACACATAACATCAGGTTGTCTTGCAATTTCCGATACTGTTTGATCACATGGAGAAGTTAGTGACCCATCAAAAGTCTGCATATTGGACTTCGATTTCACTTGTGGAGATTAGCAAGTAATCTGTAGAATGTTATTTTGGCCTCATATCTGAAACAACTGTTTACTTAATAGTTTTGTTGCATTGAAGGCTGAATAATGGTGTTTTTTCTAATTGTATTTTCTGCATTGAATATCAGCTGTTCTTCTATCAAAAAAAGAAACACAAAACCTTTTTTCTCATCAACTAGGAATGAACTACAGTTATCCTGTATATAAAAGGCAAAGATTAGATGCTGAATCCTTTCTCTTTAATTCCCAATTTTCATAGTTAGGAATTACTTTAATACTTCCACTCGTGGAATTCCACTCCAGTAGTTGTTTTAAAAATAATGTGTTTATAAATAAAATTGTTCTTATGCTTTCAGAACTGAAATAGTCTTCATAAATTTACAGTCTTTTCAGATCTTATTTTTTTGGTTGCTGGGTCTGAAGAGACTGCCCTTTTATCTTCTTCTGCAGAAATGATCCTATTAGTTAAAATTGATGGAAAGACCCATCTTTCCCTTCTTTTCAAATAAAGAATGATGGTAAGAGGATAATATGGAGTACTTTGAATAATCTTCCTTCTAATATCTTAATTAGTCATTTTGGATAGAGAGGAAGACTTTTGCAGTGATTGTTGATCAGTGAGATTGATTTAATTAATGAAGACAAAGATTTATTGAAGTGCTCTGAATGTTATGGGAATTAAGTTAAATTTGAAGAAACAGTCTGGAAGTTATGTCCCTTACAGCACTCCACTTGGAGTAACCAGTATGACTCATTTTGATAGGCCATCTGTTATGTCAGATCTCCATTGTATTAATGTATATTTCACATTACCATAGTCAGAATGCGTCAGATACTGGGAGCTGTATTTTTTCCTGTCTATGACTTTCTATTATAATAACATATTATATAACTTGAAGAATGTAGTTATCCCTGTCATTGTCTAGCAATTAATTCTAGAAAACCATAGTTTTTTTTCCTATGGTTTCATAATTTTCATCTATGTTTGCCATTTGATTTCTGTTTGAACTCCCCAATTTGTGTTTCTATGATGATTCAAAACTTTTTATTTATACCTACTTTTTTGCATTTATGGATGACTAGTGGTATAACTCTGATGTAATCATTTCTTTTAAAATATGTTCGCCTAGCTGTCCTCTGAGTTCTAGTTTACATTAGGGTTCACTCTTGGTGTGTAGTCTATGCGTTTTGACAAATATATAATGACATGTATCCACCATTATAGTACGATACAGAATAGTTGCACTGCCCTAAAAATCCCTTTGGCTCTGCCTATTCCTTCCGCCTTCCTTCACCCCTCTGACCACCACTGATCTTTCTACTGTTTTCATAGTTTTAGTTTTTGCAGAATGTCATATATTGGAATCTTACAGCATGTAGCATTTCAGATTGGCTTCTTTCACTTACTGGTAAGCACTTAATGGTTCCTTCATGTCTTGTTACGCCTTGATTGCTCATTTCTTTTTAGTGCTGAATAACGTCCCATTTTGCGAATATCTCGTTTTATTGCCATTTATATATCTTGTTTGTTGAGGTGTCATTTCAGATCTTTTTTCCATTTTTAATTGGTTTGTTTATTTTTTATTGTTGAATTTTGAGAGTTCTTTGTATATTTTGGATAACAGTCCTGTACCAGATATGTGTTGTGTAAATATTTTCTCCCTGTCTGTGGCTTGTCTTGTCATTCCCTTAAAAGTGGTTTTGATCATAAGTATTGAATTTTAATGAAATCCAGCTTATCAATTATTTCTTTCATGGATTGTTTCTTTGGTGTATATATAACATTTATATGGAACATTTTAAATACATATAAATTGACATTTTTCTCCAGTCACATTCTTATTTCAATCTCACAGTGAATTTTATATTTTCTTAGAGGGAAGATCATTATACAAAAACTATTTTATGAGTTTTAGGATCTCATACATTTCTTCTTGAATCTAAAACAAGACTTCTTAACCTGGGTTCAAGCTTGAGAGGTCTATGGATAGAATTCACAGAGTATGTGAACTCAGGGAAAAAATGACATTTTTATTTTCCCTAATCTTTAATGCATATTTCCTTCACTTATGAATATGTACAATAAACCACCAAAGTATTAGCTGTATGCATGAGTTTGTGAGCAGTGAAAATAATGGATATTTTTATATCATTTCTTTGTTATTTATATTAGTCTCTAAACATTGCTTAAGGTTCAAAATTATGGTAAAGCCTATATAAATGTATATATATTTTTAAATCCTCACCCAAGGATATTTTTCTATTTATCTTCAGATAGAGTAGGAGGGAGAAAAAGGGAGAGAGAAAGAACCATCCATGTGAGAGAGATGCATCGACTGGTTGCCTCCCACATGACCCTGACCAGGGCCAGGCACAACCGACGTATGTACCCTTGTTCAGATTAGAACCCGCGACTCATTGGTCTGTGGGCCGATGTGGAGCCTATATTTTAATATGTGAACAGAAACCACATATTGTCAGTTTTGAAATTCTAAGTAGTTTACTTTGTCTTTTAAAAAAACATTCGTCTTTGAAAGAGAGAGGTTTCTAGGCTTCACCATCTTGTTAAAGAGTTGATGGCACTACAATGTTTGAGTTTGTTATCCAAAAGATTAGTCCTAGGTTTGATTTTCATTCGTTTCAGCTAACACATTGGAAGCTAACTGTTTCATCAGAGACTCCATTCACATCGCTGGGTTCAGTTGATACCCATGGAGTTTGCTGGTGTGACAGGGATTGAAGGAAGGAGAATCCTTTGTGGAGTTAGGACAGCCTGCTAGGACATGGTTATTAACTTGGTCTTTGACTACTGCGGACCCTTCTTCAAGGGGACTTGAGTTCTAAACTGGAACCTAAAAGATAATTAGCTAGGACATAATGATTCAGTGGCTGGCATGTAAATAAATATTAATTGAGTGAAAAAGGCAAGAAAAATATCACACTTTCGACATAGATTTTGAAGTTGAGTCCATACCGTGGACTGAACAGTTTATTATGTGGTAGATATATTTTTCAATGTGTCATCATTTCTGCAACATTTTATAAATGCTTTGTACCTGTTTAAATATTTGAATTAAATGGAGGGTTCATAACTCAGCAGCCACTCACAAAATTGGTTTGCAAAATCTTTATAGAAGCTGGTAGGCAGAGATTTCATGCAATTGCTTACAATTCATCTTAGTTATTTACTGTTCAGGTCTGAGTATTTTTGCTATTCAGAATATGACTAATATTGCTTGGGTATGGCACAAGTGTATATAAAATATTTAATTCTCAGTGATTTGAAAGCTTTGGTTTTTTTTAAAGCTTCTTAGAGAATGGTTATGGTTGCCAACTGTTATCCAGCTCCTAATGTTAGGTGACATTTATTTTGCTTGTCAGGTTTCTGTATCATGTTTC